CAGAATTAACAAATATGTAAAATTTTACAGTACATATGACATTAATGGCTCGTGTGACAACGGGTTAATGTCCTTGTTTATTTGGGGTAATACTGACGTTTAACAAACCCTTTTAGAGCGCGTTTAAAGTACGTTTACATTGTATTGGAATTCGTTAATCCTGTTGGTTGAATTGTCAATTCTTTTGAATATATGCCAAATAAATCCTCATAAAGTAGGTTAACCCCTGAAAAAATTATAATGCAAATGTCGTTTTAGATGGCAAAATCCATTCGATTTCAAATGTCAATTCCAATGCCTATACGTCGCTTTTGTCATGTTCACAAATCCAGAAGATTATGACGTAACGCCATGGAATTGACATTTGAGATCTGGTGGATTTCGTAAATCTAAACGAACTTTATAGATGGGTATCATGGTATAACAATATAAGGTAGCAGCCATGGCATAATTACAGAAGGTAGTCTCATTTGAGACATTATTAATGGCAACCCTTGTTAATTTGGAACTCATCTATCAATTTCAAATAGTTTGACATGGTACAATTATAAAAGGTAACAGCAAATCCCAGCTGATTTAATTCCAACGTAATACTAGTGTCAATATGAATTTAACAAATTATGTTTTTTAAAATCACCGAACAGAAAAATTGGGGAACGCGTACAATTTGAAATTGTTCTTTATTAAATATGCTCACGTATTTAATTTACTCAATCTGCCTGCTAGGGAAATTTGAGCAAGCAAATCTTTGTTCATTGAATAACTCGCAATTCCCTGCATTTTCATATCTATTACACATATAAGTGGAAATGGCTCAATTATAGGAAAGATGTGGAAGCGATAGAAATAAAAAAATTGTAAATTTTCATTCATGCTTTTGAATCTGTTTGTTGTACAACAACACTTGCTGTTACCTTCTATTATTATACCATTATAGTGTGAAAATTTTCGAAGGAAGATATTTTCCAGGGTGCCGAAATATGATTAAAATATGCTCTTTCTCACGAATGCTCACGCATGAGAATTCGAATGTTTTCAATTTGTAGCGAATGATAAAGTTGAACAAGCATTTGCAATCTCTCGCGAATGTTCGCACTGTACGAAAATTCACGAACGATAAAATTTCGCTGCAAGTGTCGTCGGTTCGTCCTTTTGCGAGCATTTTTTGCTGAAGAACATTCTTTTGAAAAACTCAAAATCAAATGTTCGCGAAAACACCCACAACGAATGAATAGTTCCGTTCCAGAACCTAAAAGAATCTACTAATTTTACGTGTTTTGCTGCAACTTTTACTCGAAAACCGTTCCTTAACCCACAAAACTGGTGAAACATTGACACAAATTTAAGAGAGCACAAAACAAAATGGCATTCCCTTTGTAAACTTTTTACTCGAGAAATTTGGTCGAGTAAAAATGGTAAACAGGAATGCCTACTTCTGATTGGCTGTTATGTTGATTTTGAAGTATTGCCATCTAATTTTGGCATATTTACTAGATTTGCGTTACCGAACTTTTCAAATTATTTTGTACCCTGAGAGCAATTTTGAAATGTTTCCCTTTTATTCGATTTACTAACAAAATGTGTGTGGAATAACAAAACACATGTCCAACAATTACTGAGTTCACAAACGTTTGTTTTTGGTGTTCTTGTTGCTGTTTTGAGCATTCGCGAGAATTCGGGAATGTTTGTTTTCATTCGTGAGAGAATGTCAGAAAGAATTTCAACCACCGAACGAAATGAACGATGTGTATAAGTCATCCATTTTTTAACCAATTTTTTTAATTTTTGAAAGATTAATTAATTTTCCCCCCGTAATATAATAAAACTTATACGGCTTCATATCATAATTTCATCGTACAGTCCGAAGAAAAATGAATTTTGTCTTTTTATGCGTATCTTTTCACATTTCAACCACTGTAGCTTAGCCAATCCTCAACCTATTTACCAAATACATATTTTGTTTGAAAGAAAAAATTCTACTCTTCGAAAGAAAAATCTGTTAGAAATAAAAGAAGTTGTTCGCGTTTCAAATTGCAAATCTATGAAACCACGTTTTTCTCTACATTTACCGTTATAACCGTTACCGTTTATTGGCCAGATGGTTTTTTTCGTGGCAATAAAATAAATAAAACTAATTTTCGTGACCCAGAAAAACCAAAGGTATTTTCGTGGTCCAGGGACTCCAACTAAATAGAATTGATACATTAGAACCCCTGAAAAAATTTTTTGTTATTTTGCATCACAGTGTTTTTCTTTGATGAATAACACTGTGCTACAAAATAACAAAAAAAAATTTTTCAGGGGTTCACCAATTCTGTTTAGTTGGAGTCCCTGGATCACGAAAATACCTTTGGTTTTTCTGGGTCACTTCGAAAATTAATTTTATAACGGTAAATATAGAGAAAAACGTGGTTTCATGGATTTTCCATTTGAAACTTGAATAACTTATTTGCTTTATAACGGATTTATATTATTCTTTTTTTCTTTCGAAGAGTACAATTTTTCCTTTCAAACAAGATATATATTTGGTACATCGGTTGAGTATTGGCTGAGTTACAGCGGTTGAAATGTGAAAAAATACGCATAAAATGATAAAATTTATTTTTCTTCGGACTGTACGATGAAATTATGATATTAAGCCATATAAGTTTTATTATATTACGGGGAAGAAAATTAAGTTAGCTTTCGAAAATGATAAAAATCAAAAAAATCGGTTAAAAATGGATGACTTATACACATTTTTGTATTGAATCTATGCATATTCTCTAAAGGAAATATGGGTCTGTATCGTTTCCTGTTACAAACCGTTATGATTGTAACAGGCAAAAGGAGACGAGATAGATCCATATTTCCTTTAGAGAATATGCATAGAATCAATACAAAAATGCGTATAAGTCATCCATTTTTTAACCGATTTTTTTGATTTTTATCATTTTCGAAAGCTAATTTAATTTTCTTCCCCGTAATAGAATAAAACTTATATGGCTTGATATCATAATTTCATCGTACAGCCCGAAGAAAGGTACATTTTGTCATTTTATACGTATTTTTTCACATTTCAACCGCTGTAACTCAGCCAATCCTCAACCGATTTACCAAATATATATCTTGTTTGAAAGGAAAAATTGTACTCTTCGAAATAAAAAAAGAATAATATAAATCCGTTATAAAGTAAATAAGTTATTCAAGTTTCAAATGGAAAATCCATGAAACCACGTTTTTCTCTATATTTACCGTTATAAAATTAATTTTCGAAGTGACCCAGAAAAATCAAAGGTACTTTCGTGGTCCAGGGACTCAAACTAAACAGAATTGGTACATTAGAACCCCTGAAAAATTTTCGTGTCGCACAGTGTAATTAATGAATTTGTATATTTTTGGGTTGTTGGCAATTTTAGGTTAGGGAGTAAAGTTTAAGGCTCAAAGCGAACGTTCTGCTTAGCCCTTTAATGAAAGGTTAGTGGAAATAAATCCCCGGCCAATGGCTAAATCAAGGAAATTGTGTTGCCCTTATGCAATCTGGCCAGAGGAGTATATCAAAGACTTTCACCTTTGGATACGTATGTGTTGCTGGGATTTATGGAGAAATTTCAACACCGGATACAAAACATATACTATATGGATCAAATCAACGAACGGTTTTAAAACTGATTTAAGATTCGTCCGTCTCTATGAACACATTTTTTGTTAAAACCCTAAATTTAAAGACAATTTTGTAAATCGTATTGAATTGTTGAAAATGTTTTTGGCAATTTACTTTACAAACAATAAAGAAAAAAGTTTATGTAATGCACCTTGTCATCTATCATTGTTAAATAATACGATTAAAAATAAATTCCATAAAATTGTATGTACGCGATTGGCATATTTTCAATAAATTAAACAAAATATATTTTCTAAAACTGAACATTGCTTTCAAGATGTCACCATAGTTGTTACATCATATATTTGTTTTAGAGTTTTAGTTTTAGAGGCAGGGAACTTCTAAATATTTATATATATAAATAAATTATTTAGCAATTTTTGCCACTGAACACTTATGCGTACAATTCAAAGGAAAATATTTTCATTTAAATTTTGAAAGCTGAATACTGTCAAAGGCAAATTTATGAACAAAATTGGAAACATATGACTGCATGAGACTACCTTGTATAATTATGCCATGACAAATTATAATAAAATATTTAAATAAAAATCTGTTCCAGTACTTTTTTAATAGTAAATCTAGTAAAAGGGAAACATTTCAAAATTGCTCTCAGAGTACAACTTAATTTGAAAAGTTCAGGAACGCATATCTAGTAAATATGCCAAAATTAGATGGCTATACATCAAAATCAACATAACAGCCAATCAGAAGTAGGCATTCCTGTTTACCATTTTTACTCGGCCAAATTTCTCGAGTAAAAATTTACAAAGAGAAAGCCGTTTTGTTTTGTGCTCTCTTAAATTTGATTCAATGTTTTACCAGTTTTGTGGGTTGAGGAACGGTTTTGGAGTAAAAAGTTGCAAAACACGTAAAATGAGTAGATTCTTTTTGGTTCTGGAACGGAACTCCATTTTAAAATTGTACCCTCGGTGGGCATTTAAATACGCAACGCATTGAATTTAATTCTCATGGGCTAAGCAGAATGTTCGCGTTGAGCCATTCGTTGCGTTATGAGTTATCGAAAATACAACAAACACAAGGAACCGATAACAACAACCGCATATCGTTTCCGTGTGGTTGTTGTATTTTCGATAACATATACCGCAACGGATGGCTCAACGCGAGCATTCTGCTTAGCCCTTCACTATTTACAAGCGTAAAAAGTCGCCGGTTTTTTGTTGTGTTTTATACCAGTACCATTGAATACAACCATGAATTGCGGTAATTGTTTGCTCCGTTTTGCTGCTAATTCTTAGCGTTCGGTTCTGTTTTGTTCAGCATTCTTTGTTTTTGTTCCGTTTTGGAGCTCATTTGTATTAGTTATCGATAACTAACTTTTCTTCCGACAAGCATTTTATCAGGGACTCACGCGAATTTTCATCAAGCCTTTCTGTATTGAGAAAATTAATTTGGTAATTATATTTCTGTTTAAGAAAATTGCATAAAATAATTAAACTTTATTTTATAAATTCTAATTGCTATGAGTTTTATTTGAACTTGCAACGAATGTTGTCGCTGTGTCAAAAAAACAAATGATCTGTCTCTAGAAAGAACTCTAAGAACTCTCTAAAAAATGACGAAAAATTAATGAAGCCGCCGCATTCATTCCATTCACTAGCTAAATCGATAAATATGTAATATATTTATTTTGTTATAGGTAGAGATATAGAAAATATTAAAAAGTTGTAGTTAATTTGCGTCATATTTGGAAGAAGAATCCTTTTCAATACAATCAGCAGACGGCCGGCTTGCGTGCTGAGGGTAACTTTTTTTCTCTAACGACACGCCATCCGAACGAATTGGTGTGTGTATAACACAAAGTTAAGTCATCGTCATTTTGCCGAGCATATCTCCTTGTTTCACAAAGAAGTGAAATTTGGAAAATAAAGTAATTGCAAATTTTATCGGCGCATTTGGAGCCGTCAGTTGTAGTGTCGAGTTATTGAGTGGTAATAATTTGTGATTTTATCTTTAGGTAGTCATGGCGAACAATTACGCCGGCTTTAGTTACGGAGGTACACAGTACACATCCACTGGTGCACCAGGTACGTACAGTTCCAACTCTGTGTCTTATCCGGCTGTAACTAATGCGACATTCGCTAATGCCGCTGCTTATCAATCTGCTGTAGCTGCTGGAAGCGGAAGTTATGCAGCTGGAGGTGGTGCCGCTGCAGCCGGCTATGCGGGATATGGCAACGACTATGCTTCTCTGCAAGCCTATGATTCGTCAAAAACATTTTACCAGCAAGCAGCCTCCAGCTACAACACCGCTCCATCATCTACAGTTGGTAAGACTCATTATTCGGCACCACCAGTAAAAAATGTCACCCCAATTGGTACGAAACCTTCGGCTGGAAAAGATAAGGGCGGACCCGGTGGACAGGCCAAGATGGGAGGTCCGACCGTTACAACAGCATCGGGTTCCTATAGCAACTATGATGCTGCCCTCTACAGTGCTGCTTCTATGTATGTGGCTCAACAGCATCAGCCGTCCCAGCATGGAGCGGGCGGTGGAAATCCTGGCAAGGCTAATGGTGTGATGGGCGCGGGTGGTAACTGGCCTCCATATCGCAAAGGTGGTCCTGGTGGCCCTGGTAATAAAGTTTCTCGACAGAAACAGCCTCCACGTCCCCAGCAATTGCACTACTGTGAGGTTTGCAAAATATCGTGCGCGGGACCACAGACCTATCGTGAGCATTTGGAGGGTCAGAAACACAAGAAACGTGAAGCGTCCTTGAAAATGCAGGCCAGTGCTCAGACTACGACTCAGAACAGAGGTAACAACTACCACTGTGAGCTATGCGATGTTACGTGCACCGGCACCGATGCATATGCTGCCCATGTCCGGGGAGCCAAACATCAGAAAGTTGTCAAATTACACCAGAAGCTAGGCAAGCCCATACCGGCCGATGAGCCTAAGAAAATGGGAAAAATTAATTTTGTCCCCGCTAGTGGTAGCAATAGTACCACCGAAGGCGCCACAAACACCAAAGAAAGCGAATCTGCCGAAAATCAGAACGACTCTAAAACTGAAGGTATGTTTGCTTTGCATCTTTCCCTCTCGGACTTGTAATTAGATCCAATTATTATTTGCAGCAGAAAACCAAGATGATTCCACAGAAAACTTGGACAATATTAAACCAGTCGGTGGAGAATATATTGAAGAGGTTAAAGACGAAGAAGGAAAAATATTGAGTTTTAACTGCAAACTTTGTGATTGCAAATTTAATGATCCCAATGCAAAGGAAATGCATACTAAAGGTCGTCGCCATCGTCTCCAGTATAAACGAAAGGTCCAACCGGATTTAGTTGTTGATTTTAAGCCGACTCCGAGGCAGCGTCGTTTAGCCGAAGCCAGAGCACAACGTGCATTAATGAGTTCTCATCGTGGTCAAAATGCCAATTTTGGAGATAAACCGGGTTATTGGGGCGACGAACAGCGCAGGCGTGCACAATTTGACGACGAATATGACTATAATAATTGGTTGGCTCGTAGTTTTGGAGGTAAGCTAAATAATAATAATTTATTTAAGAAAATTTTAAGAACTTTATGGCAAAAAGTTGCCTCATCGAAATAATGGTTTTAGACCCAAGTTCCTTTGGACCAAATATTAAATCCGATATACATACTAATACCTCCACAAATGTGTTTGCACATATACATTATACAAAGCGAATAGTAAATCCTGTGTGGCCTAAATATGGCAGACCGTTATATTACCCTTGTGGGATAGTGTAATTACTAAATCTTCGTTACTAGTAAACTTTATCGCGGCTACAATTCGCCCACATTCGAAAAGAAATTCTGTTATCGAACAGAATATTCTTAGTTTTTTTTTTTTGCAATCATAGGGGACAAGTTGAGTTTAGGGTATCATCTCGGATTTTTATTTTATTTTTTAAGTCTCGTCTCTTTGATTACGAAAATACATAACATTCGTGGGGGGACGGACTCCCTTCCGTACTTGCCGAGATACGGCATATGTCATTTATGGACCGATATAGGCAATATGGATGCACATTATATTTTTCACATTAAATTCATTTTAATAAAAAATAATCCAACCAAGCCTGGCTTCGGTCGCAATCAAAATTTCTTTTAAACGAAACGTTACCTTAAATAGTCAATTTAAACCACCTCTTACAGCACTATACAATTTCTTTATTAGGTTTCCTAAAAACTACACTTAGTTGTGATTTTAATAGAAAAAAAGATTCACATGTCCGAAGTTTGTGCAATCCACATGTATACCGTGGAAGAAATTGTTTGTGTGTGGACAAAAATCCATCACCACAACAAAAGTTGGATTTGAAGAGGACAATTTCGGGAGTGATGACAAATGCCGAACTTTGATACATTTGAATTTAATTAGCTGATGCAATTTCACAATAAATACAAATTATTAAGTTCGGTTTTATAATGGCATTCCGTTTATTCAGCCCTACTCGAAAGAGAAAAACTAAAAAAGGAAGTCGTCATGTTTATTAATTTTGAAAGTAAGATGGGCACATATGTATGTTTCCGATTGTGTCGGAATAGAATATCTTTGGAGAGGCACTGTGCGAAATTGTTGAAGGGTATTGGCTTAGCTAACTAGCTTTGTATTGCTAATTGACAGTTTTTTTACATCTACTTTGAATGATAATTATTTTATTGGATAAAATATAGAGGAAAACTTTTTAAATTTATAATTAAAAAAATATAGTAAAAACTTGTAAACTTATATGGAACGCCATTAAAGTGGACAATGCCATTGTTTCCAGGCTTTTTCATTATATTCGTGCAAAAAAATCTAGTTTTTTACTTATATATTTTTTTTTAACTTTTTTACATATTGTTCATTTAAGGTAATCAGCGTGGATTTGGCGGTCGTATGGGTAATGGACCACCACCATTCTTCGGAATGATTCCTGGAGGTGCAGGAATTCGTCGACCAGAGAGCAATGACGACCGTCATGCTATTGCCCGTCATGCTCAAATTTATCCAAAAGAGGAAGAGTTGCAATTAATCCAGCGCATTGTTTCACACACCGAGCGTGCATTGAAATTTGTTTCAGATACATTGGCTGAAAATCCTAACGACAGTGGTCCGTCCACCGCCAAAAAGGAAAAGGCCGATGGCAATACTGTTAAGGATGGACGTGATAACCAAATGCTCTCTTTCCAGAAGGAAGCTGACACTGGCAATTTGCGAATCCTTAAGGGAGTTATGCGCGTCGGCTTCCTCGCCAAAGGATTACTATTGCAAGGGGACAATGCTGTCGAACTTGTTGTTTTATGCTCAGAAAAACCAACTGTTGGTTTACTTAAACGCGTTGCAGCCGAGTTGCCGCAAAAACTGACGGAGGTGGCAGGTGAGTCCGAGTTACAATATTTATTTTTTTATAAAAAAGAGTAATATCTAAAATTTATAAAAGCCTAACAAGAAATTTGCTGGGAGGGATTATAGAAAAGGCCGGCGTGGCATTCTTCTTTGCAAGAATGCACCGAAGCCCTTTACTACCCTGCCTGAACCAACTTTTTCCAAAGAAATAGCTAAAAGTGCGTACGTTAAACAAGCAACAACAACACTATTTGTTTTCATTATTTCAATTAACAAGTGAAATTACATTTTTAAGTGAAAAGATAAGAAAAGAAATGAAAAAACGATAAATATCCATTCGATATCTGTGGAATATTTATTTGTATTAATCACACGATCTCATGATTTAAACGGAATTTAATGTAGAACGATTGAAAATATGAAAAGCTAGAATAGCGACATTTTCAAACGATGGCAATTTGTATGGAAAAAGTATTGAATGTTTGGAATACCGAAATTGTGGTGGCATTAACAACAACAACAAGAAAAAATACAATATTAATATGTATGTGAAAATGAACGATATAAACAAAAACTGTATTTGGTGTTTTCAGCTCTTTTCGCAGGATGATTTCATGGCCATGTTGAGATTGCTTCTAATCATTCCTTCCATCCATTGAACCACCAACTTAACGCCTAGAAAAGGTCTTAAAGTATCTTCGAACATTCGGTCCGTAGCTGCAATGAGGATAACTTAATTTAACGGTAACACAAGAAATCTTCGTGTCTCCTAAGCGAGTGGGGATCCTTCACCGAAATACCAACAAAGGAATATATTTATACAAAGTTTAGGGTCGTTCCTCTATATGCACACATGTAATCTCGACAAGACTACATAGTTCTCCTTTCGATTTGCCTAATACTTCCAACTGTATCGTGTTCACTTTTTCGTCTAACGCAGTATAACCGAATTCGTCCTCTGAACAACCACTGAAAAACAAAATAAAACAAACTTTGTGTAAATAAAGTCCTTTGAACTTGGGTTTATTTGACTATAAGTAATAATTACCAATCATCAGTTTGTAACATGCGATCACACAAATCGAGCATAATTCATATGTATGTATTTTCGAAATTAATTCCTTACAATACCTTTCTGTTAGCTGAATATCTGTTGTTGCTTTCTGCCCATAACATTGGGTACATTTGTCATGCTTAATATTTGTGTGATTTTCAAAGACAAAAAACCAACAAACAACAACATAGTGTTCTGTTGTGCGACACTATGTTGTTTCAATTACAGAAGTTATAACAAGTTCTAGAATTAAGGCCGAAATTAACAAGTAATAAAAAAGGGCGTGTATTTTTGAAACCTTTTAAATTAAATTACATTTCTCGCACAAATTAAAATATAAATATATGTATAGAACTAAACAAAACCTTAGGCATGTGAATTTCGGCCAATATGTTCGAAATGAAATATTTACATAAAAGAGAAATACCATGTAAATAGAGTTGCAAAATGTAAATGTAGAAAGCGTAGAGCAATGTATACCGAGTAGTATTTTGTCGTGGTACTTATTGAATTTATTTCTATTTCTGTTAAATTAAAAAATGTTGTTGTTAGATGATAAACCAGGAAAAGAAAAAAATAATCAGGTTGAGAAATGGGAAGTTGTGCCATCGAACCTCAACCTCACAAAAATTAATACTTAACTGTCAGAAATATGAATATTAAATATATGAACACAATATTGAACCGTAGAACCAGGGACGCGCGAACAATTCTCACTATAAACGTTTTAAGGTTTAAAATGCTTCCAATTAAAAAAATATTGATCGACCAAATGCAAAACTACCTAACTAATTAAACTAATCAGTAATTTTTCGATCTTGAGTTCTAGTGTGGGAGTAGAATTTTTAGGCATTAGTGCATGAATAATACAAAAGTTGTTATAGAAAATAAATTACCATATTTTGAATAAAATATTAAGGTTTCAATATATACAAATGCTAAAAACAATGCTAAATGCCGAAAAACATACATTTCTATTAACGCGGTTAAGTGTTATAGTACTTCACTTCTTCCGTTATATTTTGATTGGACTTTTCCAGTTTTCATAAACTCGAAGAGACACAATACATTCCGGCAATTTAAGTTACAAAAAGTACATAATCGACAAATTGTCATAAATTGTATTAGTCGAATCCGTTACACAATGTAAACTATAATCCATGTATATTAACAGAATATCTTCAACTAATACATAGTATAATAATGTAAGGTAACATCAAGTGCTGTTCTACAATAAATTTAAATGTGACCCGTGCGCTCAATTCAGAATATAAACAAACATGGCCGATCGATTTTAAGGTGACTTTATTCACTGTTTTCACATATAAATCTTGGCTTCAACAATTTTCAATTCAAACTTTTACAAAAATGTTGAAAATCTGGTATAATTTTATGAACAAGGGAAATGGTACAATTATAAAAGGTAACTGTAAAAACAACGCATTACTCGTGTTTATTTTGATGTAACAAATAGTGTTTTTAATAACATCTCAGCAGGAAAATGTAGTGCACATAAAATATAAATTATTATATATTAAATGTTTTTCCGTATTCAATTTACTAGATCTGCTGCCAGAAAGTTCGAAGCAGTAAATCTTTCTCCGAATTCTCCGAATATATAGAAGCGATATAATAATAAATTTGGTACATATTCATTTTGTACATTTTTAAATAAACACAATTTATTGACACTTCGTATGTTTTTTTTTACATTTTCTACAAACTGACTTCTTCCACTTCCATTTTATGTGGAAATATTTTGATGATAGAATTTGGATATTGTGCTTTTTAAGACCTTGGTTTGCTTGGAAACCGTTGAGATGCGTCATTCTACTAATTTCAACTAAACATCTAATTTACGTGTAATGTTTGTAAACTAAACGCCATCATAACCATGGGTGTTTCTATTAGGTAGAATCGTCTCGTACGCACATGATGTATATCTATCAATATTTAGAATACATAATTTTTATAGGATTGTCCATTAGAGCATTGGTTGATTGTTAATAAATATATGGTCTGTTCCCGTACTGCGTGTTGAACCAAAATTTGCTAATCGTAATATTTTTTCAAATCTACATTAAATCCTATAATGGGGTCTATAGGGCAACCTCTTCTGGTACCGCTCCTCTCCAAAGGCGGTAAACTTTGTAAAAACATATACCATATATAAAGCGAATAATAAAATCTGTCTGTAGTTCCGTTGACATCCGCAAAACATAGACTGAGAGTATATATTTGACCACAACACAGCATTTTAAATTGGGGTAGTAGCGTTCATTTACAGAATGTACTATTTCTTTAAAGTGCTTCCATTGATGTTTCTGATGTTGCGAGTGGCCAACATCCGTCAGTAGAAAATATAGCCTTAAACGTCAAGCGTTTAGTCGCCTATTAAAAAATAGAACATTGAGCATATTTAATTTCTAATCAGAAATGATAGCAATACTATTCTTATGGACGACGAATGTGTCCTATCAAATGCCGCAGCTAACCCGCCTAGTAACACTTTTGGCGAATATGACTTTTTTGAAGAACTGTAAAAAGTATGTAACTAATACTAACTTTTCATAAGTTTTTGGTACGAATTTTTATCACTCAGTATCTTAGAACAATAATATACAGATCTCTAAACAAAAAGTGCTGAACTTGCCTTTTTATGATTTTTTAAATAATTAGATTTAAATACAAGACAGTATAGTATAGATCTATCGAAAAGGGAGGGAGGGGCCGTTTATTAGATTATTTAACAAAAGAAATGCCTTTTTATGGTATATTACTATTTTTGCAACTCTTTTTACAAAATTTGGTACTTTATGATAAACTAGCGTACTTTTTAAGTGTATGTTTGCAGCCCATTTCATACTCATACTACAAAATATAAAATAAATAAAATATTAATTTATTCCTTATTTTTTAAATTTAATTTAAGCATTATTATCTGACACTTTTATTAAAAGCTCATATCTTTACCACAAAAAATATATAATTTTTTTCGTAACGAATGAATTAAATCGTACGCATACGTATTGAATTAGGTGTACTAGTCTAAAACCTGAACAGCCTTTAGAAAATCAACGATTGTAACTTGCAATAATGGTTTATTAGTGCATACAAGTACATTTTATTTTATTACTATTTACAAAATATTTGGCGTCGTCAATTTTGAGATATCACTTTAATACACTTCGCTAAATACTCGTGTCATTTGATTCATTTTGTTTACAATTACAATAGCAACTCATTCGAAACGTTAATTCCGAACACGTCCAGCCTTATTCTGAATATTCGTTGGGAGATATCTCGCATGTAAAAAAATTTTCGCTTTCACATTCTCGCCTTATTCTGAATGCATAGGGAGACGCAAAAAATGCGAGTGCGGATTCCAGTTTTCGAAAATGGTGGTTGAAAAAAAGATTTGTGTTGCCATATTGTAATTTAAGTTGTAACGTGTGTTGCCATATTGTAGTTTAAATTGCAATATGTGTTGCCCCATTGTAATTTAATTGTGTAATATTTTTCAATATTTTATCTATTGATTTTGTTTATTAAAAATGTTTACTTTTTATTGTCATTAAAACTAATATGGCAACCTACAATATGGCATGTGAAACAGCTGTTCATTGTTTTGATGCAATTTGGAGTAACAACTACAACAGAGAATACAATAACGAATAATGGAAAGAAATCTGCGATTGAATTAATTAATTCAGTTTATTATTTCACTACATAATTGTGTGCCTTTTTATTTAATTTCGATATTTGTTATGTTATGATTTGCTCCTACTCCTTTATTTCTTCCATCAAACCATGCACACCATAATTTTTGAAACAAAAAAAAAAAAAATATATATATATATATATATTTTTGATCTTTCATAATTTTTATTTAAGTTTTTCACTATTAAGCGGCTTATCAGGAAAATTTGGTTTTTCCATAATTTTTAAAATTTTTTTCTTGAGAGACAGAGAGACAGATCCTCACCCAAAATGTCTGTATTTCGCCTCCAAAATGCATCAAACTCAACATAAATATTCCTTATTACCTTCATACATTCCTTTGTGTAAATATTTTTCATAAAAATAGTTATTATGTTTTTGTAGTCAACTTCCTTTAAATTTTTTAGGAAAATGTTGTTTCCTGTGAATTTTTTCGCATTCTCGCTTTCGCCTTATTCTGAATGAAGTTCGAAAGCGAAAAAATCCGCTTTGGGGAAAAATTAGGTATTCTGAATTACAGGGAGTAGGAGAATGAGATGAAATTTTGTCGAAATTTTTCGCTAATAAATTTAAAGGGAGTTGACTACAAAAATATAAGTAATAACTATTTTTATGAAAAATATTTACACAATACTTATTCTATGACGATTTTAGAATATTATAAATGATAGTAAGCTAATTTTTAACTGGAAAACAACCAATAAAATGCCATTGGAAATCCTATTGATAACGAAGCATGCTGAACCAAGTATTGCCAAGGAATGTATGAAGGTAATAAGGAAAATTTAAGTCGAGTTTGATGCATTTTGGAGGCGAAATACAGACATTTTGGGTGAGGATCTGTCTCTCAAGAAAAAAATTTTAAAATTATGGAAAAACTAAATTTGCCTTATGAGCCGCTTAACAGTGAAAAACTTAAATAAAAATTATGAAAGAACAAAAACATATTTTTTTTTTTCAAAATTATCGTGTGCATGATTTGATGGAACAAATAAAGGAGTAGAAGCAAATCATAACATAATAGGCCTCTTTAAGAATCAGGGGAAATAAATATCGAAATTAAATAAAAAGGCACACAATTATGTTGTGAAATAATAAACTGAATTAATTAATTCAATCGCTGATTTCTTTGCATTATTCGTTGTGTCTCTGTTGTAGTTGTTGAACCAAATTGCATCAAAACAATGAACAGCTGTTTCACATGCCATATTGTAGGTTGTCATATTTTTAAACTTTAATTTATTTTCTTTTAATTACAAAGCTATTATACAGCGGATTATTGATATTTCACATTTGTATTGTTATAAAGTTTAAATAACAATAAAAAGTAAACATTTTTAATAAAAAAATCAATAAATAAAATATTGAAAAATATTACACAATTAAATTACAATGGGGCAACACATATTGCAACTTAAATTACAATATGGCCACACACGTTCCAACTTAAATTACAATATGGCAACACAATTTTTTTTTTCAACCACCATTTTCGAAAACTCGAATCCTCATCTCGCATTTTTTGCGTCTCCCTATGCATTCAGAATAAGGCAAGAATGTGAAAGAGAAATTTTTTTTACATGCGAGATATCTCCCAACGAATATTCACAATAAGGCTGATTATGAATATACGAAGTCGTCTTGTGTTGATGACACCAAATTGAATAGCGATCGTGCATTATGACTATCGAGATCATATAATTTAGTTTTTTTTTTTTTATTTAGTTTTTTTTTCTGCGATATTTTTATATAAAATTAAATGATTTGAGTTTGTTTTTTTTTAGCTTAGCCTATACCTTATCTTGGCTACAACGTTTAAGCAATCAGTAAAATTGTTAATTTATTTACAAAAACGAAAAATTTTATTTGATTATTTGTTTATTTTATTATTTTGTATTTATAATCAACAAATGAAAAATCAGAGGAAATATATTTGTAACAATTAGTTTTGCTTTGTCAATTATAAAACTATACATTTAATTTTTGTTTTATATAAATTGTGGGTATGAAATGTGCGCTGCCAAGTCGATATTGAATCTACTAGTCCTGTATCTTTTTTCATGAGCATATTTTTTTGTTATTTGCTTTCTAGGTGAAAATCCAGTCGAATATAAAGTTGAAGTTGTTATTGAAGAATCCGCTGTGGTAGTGCAAGATGAAGCTGTTTCTGTAAAAATATCATTGACATCACCATTGTTGCGTGAATCAACTGATAACGCCAAAACTGCAGCAGACAGTGAAGGCGAAGGTACTGGGGACGCAGCTCTGTTACCTCGTGAACCATGCCTAAGAGTAAAACAACAATCAATGGTTCTAACCACAAACCTATGCATTCTAATGTGTTTTCTTTATTTTTAGGCTTTGGCGGAATTACGCCATGCTAAATGGTTCCAAGCTCGTGCTACTGGCTTGCAATCATGCGTAATGGTTATTCGTATATTACGTGATCTCTGCCAACGTGTGCAATCCTGGCAGGCATTGCCACAATGGTCAATGGAGTTGTTTGTTGAGAAAGTCATCTCATCAGCCGGTTTTCCTATTTCTCCTGGTGATTGTTTGCGCCGTATTATGGAAGCTTTGGCATCCGGTTTCCTTATAAATGGTCCTGGTCTGTTAGATCCGTGCGAGAAGGAACCGCAAGACGCCCTCCAAGATCTATCTAAGCAGCAGCGTGAAGATCTTACTGTGTCAGCACAGCTGTTCTTACGTTATATGGCTTTTAGACAAATTTACAAAGTCCTCGGAATGGACCAACTTCCCGCTCCAAAATTTCCATCTCGTCCATGGCGTTTGAATCGAAAGCGCCGCCGCTCCCAGGGCAAAGACAACACGGACGGAGACTGCAACAATGCTGAAGCAGAAGAATGCGCCTCCGATGAAAAAATTCCCAAGAAAGATGCTAACGACACATCTGCTTAATCTAAATCTAATCTCTCTGTGTAACACACACGAAAAGGAAATACAGCAATTAATGTTTACTATCTTATTATCGTATTACTATGCGTTATTGATACCATAGACTTTTAATCAAAACATTAACAGACAACTTTATTCGACGTATTTATAGTGGTAGAATAAATTCCTGTAATACGCTGTACACCTTTCCCCAACCTATGAAACGTTACACTCACTACACGGTTCCACTTGAAATGCAACAACAAAAGTAATAATGAATAATTAAAAAAAAAAAACAAAAACAAAACAAACAACCTACTACATTTGAATGTCTACATTAATAAGGAGTAAATATTCAATATATGATAACATAGTACATGAAATAATTGAAAGAATTCAATACCGAAGGAAATATACATCAGATGCGGAATTTCGATGTAATCCATGATATGCTATATTTGTTTTTAAATAGTAACGTGTAATAATTTTTTCAAAACAATTTTGAAACATAATGAAAATTCTCAAATTTATTTCCAAATATTAATATATTTAGAGCTAAACGTAAACCCCGTTTGTTTTATTGAAGATTGAGGAGTATGTGTTTTTCGAATGAGTTTTATATTTAAATTGGAAAAAATGAATATGAAGTGCCTATTGCAATAAGGAAAAAAAGAAAATGAAGAGCATAGGTAGTGGGCGGGTATGGAATTGTTGATTTTGTAATCGCTAATGTAGAAAAGGATATTAATTGTAATGGATCTCTATAATTCTACAAATCAATTCACGTTTGTACATTGGCGTTCCCGTGTTACGAATGTCTACAAGAAAAAAGTCATAATGCTTCACAAAATGGTTTAACAACTCAACCATAGGGACATTTTGATATGTTTGGACATTTCAATTTGACAAAACTTGAAATAATAATTTTAAATATGAGATGAATGGAAATCCTTCAGTACGTGTGAGATTGGATGGTGTGAAGTAGACTCGTTTTCGTCGTCAAATATGTTTTTTTATTTAATTAAAAAAAAATTGTTTCTCCTTGTTTCTGGGCATTAGCTAAATTTTAGCTTAAAGGGCAAATCAATTTACCTCGATTTATGGGAAGAAAAACCTGGTATTTCATAAATTTTGTCGCATTTTAAGTAAAATGTTTCCTAGGGGAGTTGCCAATCTCCTACTAGGCGTGTCTTCCCAGTTGGCGGATGGGAAGAGGGTCTCCATGATGTGCAGAGGGAAACTGACCTAGGTCTCCTAGATCAACTTTTCTCTGTACCTTGTGGAAACCCTGGGGATCTTCGGATCCCCCGTGGACCAAAATGGATCGGGGTAGTGCCCTTAAAAAAAAGCTCTGGGTGGACCAAAAAGTGGTGGAAACAGGAAGAAGGGGAAGCCAGTAAAGGAACCATCATCTCCTTGGGGAGGAGATGTCGCCCCACAGAATAAATCTGTGAAGCGCATCCGCTCTTCAGAAGGTCCGCAACCCTCACCCAAGAAGACGATGATTTCTCGTCTGGTAGACCCTTCTACCTCTTATGCGGCTTGCGTTGGACAACAAACTGAGGGGAAACGACTAAGTACGGAGAAGGCTTCAACCTCCTCTGGAAAGGTGACCTCCAAGGTTCGTAGTCAACGACAGCGTAAGCCGTATGATAGACCAACAAAGGTAGCCACTGAAGAAGACCTTCTTGTGGCGATCATTGACAAAGCTGATCCTCAGGGCAGAATCAGTGAAAGTCATTGGTTGCTATTTGAAGGAGCCCTTCGGTCGGCTATCGTCTGCGGGATGGACCAAGGGGACCGACAGTTTGGTAGTGCCTTCATGCAGAAGGGTGCCAAAGTCATTAACTGTCTAAACAAGAAATCCAAGGAATTTTTGTGGAAACAGTTAGTGGCTTTGGCGCGCTCTGGGAAGGAGCAGAGCTTGCAGCGGTCTCCCAACCAGACGGGTCCTTTCAGCCTGGGTTCCCCCACCTTCTGTGGATAAGGAGCTCCTGCTGAAGATGCTGGCGCTGCAAAACCCCAGCCTCACTACATCGAGTTGGACTGTGGTCAGTCTAACTCCCTGTAACGTGTATGGTGGCGAGAGTTGCGGTTGACCCACCGGGGGAGAAATATCTCAGAGATCGTGAGGGGAAATTGAACTTCGATTCAGGATGGGTTCGGTTTCGACTGAACACATCCACCGAAACTCAGTAGGAGTGGGGAAGCGGCGTAGGCTGCGCATAATGCAGATCAATCTGCATAATTGCAAGGCCGCTGCCGCCGAACTACTCCTGTCCCTCACGAACTCGGAAGTGGACATTGCCTTAGTCCAGGAGCCATATATTTATAAAAATATGGTTTCTGGACTAAGGAATGCCAACTTTGATATTTTCACCGCGTCCATGGGGGACAAGAAGAGCTTAAATATAATCTTTCTATCTAATTACAGCAATGGTGACATGTGCACTGTAAGGCTGGAGCACAAGACGGGGAAGGCCATTTGAGGAGATGGACCCACCAGCCAACTGTGTACGAAAGATGCTCGATGAGATGACGAGCACTTGCAACGTTATATTGGAATGCGACGCAAATGCTCACCATTTTCAATGGGGTAGCAAGGACACAAACAAACGAGGTGAGTCCGTTTTCGATTTCATCTTATCCTATAATTTACGTATATGTAATAGGGGTAGTGATCCGACCTTTAAAGTTAGGGATAGAGAGGAGGTCATTGACTTAACCCTCTCAAATCTAGATGACTCCGTCATCAGAAATTGGAGAGTATCTGATGAATGTTCCTTCTCAGATCATTAAAAGATTCTCTTCGAGTACTCTTTTGATGGAGATAGACAACAGCCTTATCGGAATCCAAGGAGAACAAACTGGGAGAAATTCACGGAACTAACGAACTCTCAGCTGACTCTTAACACAAACCTAGGAACAGCTGTGGAACTCAACGGGGCCGTGAAAAATCTAACGGATGTTCTCCTTGGTTGCCATAAGGAATCCTGTCCGCTTACACACCCTGGGAAGAAATCTCGGCCAGTGTGGTGGAACAAGGAACTTGGTGAGCTCAGGAAAGCGACCAGACGACTGTATAACAGGGCGCATAAGTCTAAACTCGACACTGATTGGAACTCCTATAGAGTTAGTTTCAATAAATACAAGAGTGAGATAAAACGCGCGAAGAAAAAGTCTTGGGTAAATTTTTGTGAGTCTATAGAAGGAGTCAACGACGCTGCTAGGTTTCGAAAACTACTATCCAAGGGCCCGAAGTCCATCGGTAGTATTAAGAAGCAGGATGGACCGTGGACGGACTCAGGTTCTGAGACTCTAAATCTCCTAGCCGAGACTCATTTTCCGGGTTGCAAAGACATGGGTACCATCGACGGTGATCGTGATGAAACTCGGCCTTTCGTCACTCCGGATCTGGATCTCATTAGCAAGGTGATTAAGAGAAATAAGATACGATGGGCGGTCAACACATTCAAGCCGTATAAATCGCCAGGACCGGATAGTATCATACCGGCGATGCTTCAATATGCCTCGCCAAGTATTTATCTGATTCTCGAGAAGATTTACACTGCGTGTCTGACTCTCTCGTATGTTCCGGATCTATGGAACGAGGTAAAGGTTACTTATATTGCTAAAGCAGGGAAACCAAGCCACTCTGCACCAAAAGACTATAGACCCATTAGCCTATCATCCTTTCTCCTCAAGACTCTCGAAAGACTGATCGATCTGGAGATAAGGAGTCGTATAGACACCACCTCCCTTAGCAATTCACAGCACGCATACATAAAGGGCAAGTCTGTGGAATCTGCACTGCACGAAGTGGTAGGCTACATTGAGAGGAACATGGAGAATTCAAATTTTACGCTGGCTGCCTTCTTAGATATAGAGGGAGCCTTTAACAACGTTAAACTTGAATCCAAAAACCACTCACTTAGGGAAGTTGGCATTCCTGATACCCTGACATATTGGATAGATAAAATGCTTAACAGCAGGATTATAAATTCAAGTGTGGGGGTTGCAAAAATCAGGAAAACGGTAACTAGAGGCACACCTCAAGGAGGGGTGCTTTCGCCGTTACTATGGCTACTGGTTATTAATATCATATTGAGGGAATTGGACGGGATAGGTATCAAAGTTGTAGCTTATGCGGACGACGTGGTGTTATTGATCTCCGGAAATTTTCCGTCTACGATCTCTGAGCTTATGCAAAGAGCCTTACTGACGCTGTCACGCTGGGCCAGGGCAAATGGTCTTGGTGTAAATCCAACGAAGACGGAACTGGTAATGTTTACTAGGAAGCGTAAGCTCGGCGTTTTTGTTCCACCAACATTGGATGGAGTGCAACTTCACCTATCCCCCGAAGCAAAGTACCTCGGCACAATCCTGGACTGTCAACTACGATGGAAAAGGAACGTTGAGGAGCGAGCGAAGAGAGGAGTGATTGCACCCTATGCATACAAGAACTCCATTTTGAAAAGCTGGGGGCTAAAACCATCGACTATACACTGGATGTATAACACTGTGGTGAAGCCCATCTTGTCCTATGGCTCTCTTGTTTGGTGGAACTGTCTGAGCCTCAAGTCGACATCTATTAATTTAGACAAGGTACAAAGAGCCGCCGCGATTGTAGTTACAAGAGTCTAAACAAGAAATCCAAGGATTTCCTTGTGGAAACAGTTAGTGGCTTTGGCGCGCTCTGGGAAGGAGCAGAGCTTGCAGCGGTCTCCCAACCAGACGGGTCCTTTCAGCCTGGGTTCCCCCACCTTCTGTGGATAAGGAGCTCCTGCTGAAGATGCTGGCGCTGCAAAACCCCAGCCTCACTACATCGAGTTGGACTGTGGTCAGTCTAACTCCCTGTAACGTGTATGGTGGCGAGAGTTGCGGTTGACCCACCGGGGGAGAAATATCTCAGAGATCGTGAGGGGAAATTGAACTTCGATTCAGGATGGGTTCGGTTTCGACTGAACACATCCACCGAAACTCAGTAGGAGTGGGGAAGCGGCGTAGGCTGCGCATAATGCAGATCAATCTGCATAATTGCAAGGCCGCTGCCGCCGAACTACTCCTGTCCCTCACGAACTCGGAAGTGGACATTGCCTTAGTCCAGGAGCCATATATTTATAAAAATATGGTTTCTGGACTAAGGAATGCCAACTTTGATATTTTCACCGCGTCCATGGGGGACAAGAAGAGCTTAAATATAATCTTTCTATCTA